TAGATATGGAATGAGCACTTCCTTTTCCTGACCTTCACCTTGGAAGGTAATTGTGCACATAACAGCTGGCAGAAAGCCGCCTTTTTCCTTCAGGGCAGGAGACTTCAACAGCAGCTGCCTGGTAAATAAGGAAGTGTTAGGTTTGGATAACTACTTTTTGCAAATCTATTTAGTTGAGTCCAGCTGCTCAGCTGGGTACATGCCTTGCAGCCAAACTCCAGATCCTCTGCTGTATTTCATGGATTAACAGAGCCAGCTCCCAATCCCCAGATGAATGAGCAACAACTGCTGTTGCAGTCTGCATGAGCCTTGCTCATAATTCTAAGATTGTGCATTTGATAATAGTGCCCATACAGTCAAACTTTAAGTGGAGATCACTTTTTTTTTTAAAAAAAAGAGAAGGTGCTTAATTAATTGAGTGAATGTGAGAAGTTTTAAGTATTTAAAAGGGTAGAATTTAGGTGAAAAAATGGAGGACTGCAGTCTTCGACAAGGTAGAGGTGGGTCTATCTGTGACACTTAGGTGATCACTTCTGAAAGAACGTGATTGAGATGGACTTAAAATTCAGATTTCCAGATTTCTTCAACACTGGCTGACTTCAGACTAATTTGATAGAAGTGTGAGATGCCATTCAGTTTGTGTACATCCCATTGCCTGGGGCAAATTAAACTGCACAGAGTAGTGAAAAATCTATTAGGAAAGCTTTTTCTAATGGGAAAATGCACTAAAGAGCCCCACTGAGTCCTTGTTCTCTGTGTGACAGTATCAGCCACATCATGACTTATCACCTTTGATTAGAACTGTTGTTGTTAAACTAGGTGCAATTGAATATATGTATTTTTGGTAACTGTTACCAGTAATAACTTTCCCTTGTATTTTGTACTGCATAATCTAGGCACAGTTACAGCTTTCCATCTATTTCATTGGTTTTATTATTTTGTTTTAGGAAATGCTTCTTGAAAACACTTGTAGAATAAGCTACATAGGAGAGCAGGTGGCTTTAGGGTCCCTTGGTATGTTGGGCTATTTCTGCTTCAGAAAATTAGAAGAAACTGGACTTATTTCTGGAACAATACCCTTAGAAATTGCAATTAGATTAACTAGAGATCTCCAATGTAGAGGGCTGCAAATGCTGCACTGAATATCACATAATAGATCTTCTATTTCTTTAGTCATCTAATACTGGTCTTTTTTGTTGCTTTTCGCATGACTTTAATAATATTTTTCTATTCTAGTCTACTTTTGAAATTTTAATTCAGAATATTTTTTTTTATATTTTGTTCCTTTTCTTTCCATCCAAGATGATAAATTTCTCTGGTTTTTCTTACTAACTTTGAGTCCAGTACATTTGTTTGCAGGAACGCTTGTAAAAAAACTGCATTCTAAACCTATGATTTATTAAAAAAATGTGTTTCACATAAAGGTACTTTGAATTGAAAGCACTTATATCTTTGACTTCTTTAGGTGCCTGGTAGAGGATTCTGGGGATGTGGCCTTTGTGAAGCACTCGACAGTGTTTGAGAACACAGATGGTACTTAGTTTTACATGTCTCTTTATCATAATTCAATTATTTTTTCTTGTTCTAAAGCATTCATTGCTTGACAATGACCAGTTTCTTTTTTTTCAGGTAGAAACACTGCTAGTTGGGCCCAAAAGTTGAAGTCCAGTGATTTCCAGTTACTGTGTCCAAATGGTGCCCGTGCTGAAGTCACCCAGTTTGCCAATTGTCACCTGGCTCAGGTGCCAGCTCAGGCTGTTATGGTTCACCCAGATGTCAATGTTTTTGCTCTGTATGGACTACTGGACAGAGCCCAGGTACTAATAATCCATTTAATTTTGGGGAAGTTATATGTAGTTTTATACAGTCCAAGAATAAAGACAACAGAACCATGCTGTCGTATCCTGCCTCATGGCACTGGCAGCATGTGCACAGTGCACAGCCCTGCTGGGAGTGTGACAGAGAAGGTAAAGTACAACCCATGTAACTCACCCAGTAAAACCACCCTGGTGCACAAGGGATTTCAACTTTTTGCCCAGCCACTGGTTGCAGCAGTGATTTCCTTGGAGCCTAAGGTGTTTTCCCATGGCTTTCCCCCGTTTCTGTGTTACTTTGAGTTGTACGAGAAACAGAGTACATGCTAACGCTTTTCCATTCTGGAATTTTCCTTGGAATGCAATAGAATTTTGCTGGATTTGTTTATGCTGCAGCCATGTACATGGTAAACCATGCAGGCATAGTGTGCCTGGCTGCCACAGCAAGGTTCCTCCTTCTCCATCCTGAAGTTAATTAGTTCAAAATCAAGGCTAAGCAATATCTTCATGCTAGGCTTCAGTCATGTCTGTAACTCCTGGGCAGCCAAATCCTATATTGCATAACAATATTGAGGCAGGAAAATTTTTTAAAAGCTACAGCTCTTTTTCTGCATAGTAACTAAAAACACAAAATTACAAATGCTGCTCTTGTAATTGCCAGTGGCAGAATTCTGTATCTGATCTACTGGAGCGTCTAAAATCAAACACATACGAGAGATTCTGCAATTGTGTATGAATTTTTCATCTACAAAGTGGTTCCTGTCATCTTTCATGTTGTATGACAGGAACGTGGTGCTTCATTTTGCAAAATGCTGAGAATTTTTCATTATTTTCAGGTCTACTTTGGAAATAGCAGCAATGGAAATGGATTCAAAATGTTTGATTCTTCAACTTTCCAGGGAAAAGACTTGATTTTTAAGGATTCTGCTGTTCAGATTGTGCCAGTAGAAGAGAGGAGAACATACACAGAATGGCTGGGGAGTGAATATATTGACTCCCTTGAAGGGATGCAAACACCCCAGTGCTCTGGGGCAGGTAAAAAGATAACACAGTACTCACTCATGGCTACTGTTCTTCCCCTGCTTGTTTTATGTCAGATACAAGGCTTGGACTAGCACAGTCCAAGTAGGAACTTCCAGGCCACCTCTGCCCTGCCACCTTCTCTTCAAAAAAGCTGCTGTCTGGATAACATGCTGTGCTACCATGTGAATGCCTCTTCCTGCCTCTTTGCAGGGCAAGTGCCAACAACACATGCTCATCAGGGAGTAGGGTAGGGCTGGAAGCTGCCCCTTCCACCCTGGATGGGGTGGAATTTGGGGCAGAAACCAGCAATACAGTATCAACATGGTTTACAAGATCAGTCTAAGACTGGAGCATCTCTGCCATTGTTGCTGATATTGAACCACCCAGGATTCCCAAGAACTGTTAGATGGATACTGGGTTTCTGACCTGTAGAAGAATTTCTTGAAAGGCAGTATCAAAACTCTTGTCTAGTAAGTTCTCTAGTGGCCTCCTGGCTGCTTATGTTCAGACTCCACATCCCTGCTTTACCCATCCTACCCTGTTTCTCCTGAGCTCTGCTGCCACAGAGGTAAGTGCACAGAGAATGGACAGGCTGTGAACAGTGACCAGTCCAGCTTCTGCCATGGACAAAGTCGTCTATCTTCCAGCAGAAGAAAGTAGGGGAAATTTCCAAAGGCTGAAAAAGAAGCCCAGAGAGACTGGAAGGGGGACTATCCTTTGAGAAAAGAACAAAGCCAAACGTGAGCATCCACTGCACTTAATGACTTTCCACACCCAGTGTTCTCATGGCTGGCCAGAGATGTCCTGTGATCTTCAGTTTGATGCAGCTTTCATCATGACTGTCCTTCTTCTACATGGGGCAATCCTGAGTGCCTTGTGCATGAAACTTGTATTTGCTGTAGGTGAAACAAATTTCTTATTTCTGAATAGCCATTTCTACTGGCTGTAGCATTCAGGTTTTATTTTTATCCGTAGCTGCACTAACCACAGATATTGCTGTGCTGCTGGCAGGCACTGTCCTTTTGACTGTAGGGACCACCTCATGATCCTGGGATGAACAGATATTTGGTGTAATAAAAACCTGGTAAAGCCAAATAGTAATCATGTAAATAAGTGAAAATAGCAAATAAACATGAGAAGTAATTACACTGTAACCAGCCTGGTAGCTAAACTACTGCTTTTCTGGGACATGAACATTTATTTGCTTTTCCCTTTTGCTGCCCACTGTTCTGTTGCTGCCAGTCACTGGGGCTGGAGAAGGACACAGACTGATCCCACTGGCTGTGCTCAGTGGGGTGAGTGTGGCTGTGCAGGGAGCAGTGACGCCATGCCCAGCACTCAAACCCTTGACTACTGCCAAGCTGTGCCCAGCTGTGGCCCCTCCTGTGTTTCTTCTCCTTGTGCTTTTGGTCCATTATGAAACAGCAGCTGAAGAGGATCTGGCATGCACCCAGGTGGCCAGGAAGGCCAGTAGCAGCCTGTCTGGCCGGTATCAGGAATAGTGTGGCCAGCAGGATCAGGGCAGTGATTGTCCCCTGCACTTGGCACTGGTGAGGCCACGCCTTGAGTGCTGTGTCCATTTCTGGGCCCCTCAGGAAGGACACTGAAGTGCTGGGATGTACCCAGAGAAGGGTCTGGAGCACAAGTCCCACGAGGAGCGGCTGAGGGGGCTGGGGGTGTTCGGCCTGGAGGAGGCTCCAGGGTGACCTTTTCCCACTCTACACCTCCCTGTCAGGAGGCAGAAACCTGGTGCGGGTCGGGCTCTTCTCCGAGGCCGTGACAGGACGAGAGAAAGTACTGATAGAACTCATACTCTCAAACTGTGCCAGGGGAGTTCAGGATGGACATCAGGAGGAATTCACAGAAAGGGTGATTAGACACTGGAATGGATTGCCTGGGAGGTGCTGGAGTCACCGTCCCTGGAAGAATTTGAGGAAAGCCTGGACGTGGCGCTCCGTGGCGTGGTGTGGCTGACACGGCGGTGATGGGCCGCGGTTGGACTCTGTTATCCCGGAGCCATTTCCAGCCTCATTGATCCCGGGATCCCGTCAGTTTCAGTCGGCGCGGGGCGGGCGCTGCGCATGCGCGCCGGGCTCCCGTTGCGGCGCCTCGTCCGCGCGCCGCACGCCCCCTGCTGGTGCGGCGTGAGGGGCCGGGGCCGCCATGGTGGCGCGGGCGCTGTGGGCGCTGCTGGCGGCGCTGCGGGCGGGCTGGTGCCTCCTGCCGCAGAGCGGGTACCTGCACCCCGACGAGTTCTTCCAGGCACCCGAGGTCATGGCAGGTAAGGCGTGCGCCCGGGACGGGGTGGCCCCGCACGGGCTCGAGGGGATGCGCAGCGGCGCGGCCACGACCACCGTGTCCCGCATCGCCGGCCAGGCGGGTGTTCCCGAGGGATCCCGCTCTGTCACACAGCGAGTCCCGCAAGCCGGGCAGGAGAGGATCAGGGCTGGCCGGGTGGATGGGTTCCTGCTCTGTGCTGTCCACTGCGAGTGGCGCCTCGAACCACATCACTGTGACAGGCATCTCGATGCTTTGTAAAAATGAACGGTATGCTCCTAAAAATGTCAAGGTTGACACCAGTTTCAAAAGTTTAGGAGCTGCTCTGTAGTGTGATACTTCTAATACTAAGTAGTATCCCTGATGCTGAATTACTGAATAAAATATATTATCTATCTATGTATTTTTCTCTTCCTTTGTAGGAGATATTTTAAACCTACAGGTCTATTATCCATGGGAGTTCCTTTCCAGCTCTCCTTGCAGAACAGTTGTTTTCCCATTAATGACATCAGGAATTACGTACTGGCTGATCAAGTCTTTGCAGCAGTTGGACATATGTTCAAGTTGCATCAACAGCTACACTCTCCTTGTATCTCCTCGCCTGCTCTTTACAATCTTTTCTTTCATACTCGACTATAGTGTTTATCGATTGGCCTCTTTCTGGGGAGCAGATCCGTGGAAAGCGCTGGTACTTCTTGCTGGATCATATGTCACGCTGGTGTTTTATACAAGAACATTTACCAACACACTCGAAGGACTTCTCTTTGCTCTTCTCATGGTACTGGTTTCTTCAAAGAAGCCTAGTGGCAGCTCAGCAGAGCCTACAAGCAGCTCTCTCATAGGGGTCATAACAACTGCTGGGTTTTTCAACAGGCCAACCTTTCTGGCATTTGCTCTAATGCCCCTGCTTTACTGGGCCAGTTTAATTGTTGACTCTCAGAAGAGCATTAAAACTCTCATAAATCACTTTTTGAAGTTTATCCTATGTGCATGTTTTACCGCTTTTGTTTTCATAACTGCTGACACCTTCTATTTTACCTCCATAAGCTTAGACAACCTCTACAGCACTAACAAGAGCAGCCTATTTGATGTAATAGTTCAATTACACGACAAAATGGTAGTAACCCCCTTCAATTTTCTCAGCTATAATCTTAATCCTCATAATCTTGCACTGCATGGAACTCACCCGCGAGTTACACATTTTACAGTCAACGGAGTAATGCTGTTTGGGATCTTACATATTCTGGCCATTGGTGCAGGCTTTAAAATGCTAAAGAAATACGTCCATCAGTTAATGCTGGTCAGATGGTGCTACCGTGGGCCTCCTGGGTTGTTGTATTCCGAGGGCAGTCCAACATTGCTGCTGTTTTATTTTGTTCCTTTGGCATTTCTCTCTCTGTTCAGTCACCAGGAGCCTCGGTTTCTCATCCCTCTCATCCTGCCATTGGTCCTGCTCAGCGCGTCACCAAACAGAGCTGTAAAATGGAAACTCCTCATTGTTCTGTTCAACCTTCTGGGGGCACTTCTCTTTGGATGTTTACACCAGGGAGGGCTCATTCCCTGTTTGTTTCACTTGGAGCAGCTCATCCATTCTCCAGCGTCCTCAAGCCATCCGCGGCACTACACTCTGCTCTTTGCGCACACCTACATGCCTCCAAGGTCTCTGCTCAATATCAAGCAGACAGACATGCATGTGGAAATCATTGACATGGCTGGGGCTGGAGAAGAAACCCTTTGCCAGACAGTAGAGCAGCGAGCAAGCAATTCTACCTGCAGCGACTGTCACATCTTTATTGTAATCCCTGGTACAGTCAGAGCCACAATTACAAAATGTGGTGTCTCATTTAAGAACGAGACTTTGATATTTCCTCACTTATCAATGGAAGACCCACCACAAATACCTGTCCTATCCAGTGGAAATTGGAGGAGTCAGTTAGGACTTTACATCCTTGAGCTAAACAGAGATCATCAGACCCTTTAGGTTTCAGGAGAACAAAGTTTTAGTCTTTTACCTCATTTGGGTGCTGTCTGATGATGGCGTGAGACGTTCCTCTTTCATGCACCCACCTTTCAGCACCAGCAGTGGTGCTGGGAGCTTTCCAACATATCTTTATTCCCATTCCTCATGCTCTTAGGGTAGCCAGTTCTGGATATAACCTGCTTAAAATTTGGCTTACTCAGCCCTGTGATGTTTTATATGAACTTTTGTAATTCTCCTGATGAGAGACGATGAAATCAGAGCCCACCAAAACTGTGATTGAAGCTTAGCTGTTTCCCTGTGAGATTTATTTTTGAAAGCTCTTATAATCTCTGACAGGGTTTGGGGACTGTGGGGCATTTACTGATAACAGGCATTAATTCAGCTGCTGGAGAGAGGTTACAGGGTTAGACAAAAGCTCATCTGACTCAGTAATCTTTTATTTTATGTTCTTAAAAATTCATTAGACCAGACGGCAGTCACAGTACTGTTCCACTGCCTAGGGTGGGTCTGTCTTGAAAAATCCCCAGCACTGATCTGGCAGAATTCTGCTTTAGAACATGGAGTATGCTTCAGCCTAAGTACTTGTGCTAAATCCTAAAATCCAGGCTTTTCCTCTTTAGCCTTCCTTGCCACAGTTCCATCCTCGTGAATGTGCTACTCACGTACGGCCCCAGGCAGCTCGGGAGGGCAGCACTGTGATGGCATTAAGCGTGTGCGGTGTTCCGCGGCTGCAGCTCGGGCACTCCTTCCCTTGTGCGCTCCTGCCACTCGTCTCGTAGCTGTCTCTGCTCTGTCATGACTGTCACCCCGGCAGAACGCACGGCAGGTCCTGCGGGAGCTGGATCGAGGAGCTGTGCAGACAAAACGGGTAACTGGAGGGCATTCAATCCTTTGTGCCATTGGACCAGAAGCATCTCTGAATGGGCTCAGCAAAGCCCTGCACAGTTCTGCTGCCGTGCAGGAAAGGCAGCCTCCTGGGAGGAGCAGCATCCCCTGTGCCCCCTCCTTAGTTAGTGCACTAACTGCTCCCCATTAAATCAGCTCAGTGGGAATGACAGCTCTTATCCTGGCTTTCTGCTGGAGAGCAGTCTCTTTTCAAACTGGACCAACAACTGGGCTTCATCTGACAATGATGTATATGCTCAACAGCACAGCATGACCTACAATTTTTGGTTTTGCCTATGTGAACTTCTGGATCCAAAACATCCTGATTTGCACATGCATTGTAGATCAAGCCTCTCTGAAACAAATCTGACACTTGAATTATTTCTGCTCACAAAGGTGGTAATGCTTTTGGCAGTTCTTCACCCACAGAACCTTACATAAGGTCTTAAGAGACAGGTTTTCAATAGTGACAAGAATAATACAGATTGATGCCAGGCTCTAAGGCATAAACTAGGAAAAATGAATGTGTGAATTTGCCTGTCTTTTCCAAACTATAGGTATGGCCTGGATGTTTAGGGAACATAGCTCTTGTTCTCTTGTAAAGCGTTTTGCCATGTGTTCTCTGTATGTTCGTCCCACATCCTTCATTCCTCACTGCTGGCCTGTCTGTAAATTAAAGGTGTGTGTTTGGGGGGAGGCAGGGAGAGAGAGAACGTGCCTGTGTGTACTGGTGACTCACAAAGTAGTGTAAGTAGTTGTGAAAGCATCATGACAGCAAATGTTTTTTCCAAGTTATTTTTCTTCTTGCTCTCTTACACTGGGATGACACAACTATGTGCCACAGCTGGTACTCCATGCCCTGCTTCTCATTTTCAGCTTGCTTAACTTAAATCTTGAACATTACTTTCATAAAACTTATGAATTTTGGCAGTCTGAGTGGGGTACATTTTGAAATTCTTTGGGGATGTAACAGAGCACCATTCCCATGGGATGATGACTTCTCTACCACTGCACAGGTAACCCGCAGAGAGCCAGCAAGAGAACCTGGACTACAAATACCAGCTCAGATGAATAATATACTGCTTTTGTCTTTCCAGCCAGACTTTTGAATTTACACTGTAGACGCAGTTTCTCCATCCATGCACACCTGTCTTCGTTGCTGGAGGTATAATTTTACCAGCAATGCAGGAAACTGTATCAAAATACAACATTCTTCTCAACTGCGATGATACAAGGAATGGAAATGACCCTTCCCAGTTAACTGAGCTGGACCAAACAGTGAAACATGCTCTGAAGGAAGGTTAATTGCTGTCGCGTTGTAGATGTCATCAGATACAGCATCTTAAGCAAACCTGCCCAATACATTACACATGATGGATGCACCCTTTTCCATTATATATCTGTATTTCCATTTATATGTAGGGTGGTTCTATTGGTCATTTTTTTCCCTGTAAACCCTTCTTGCTACAATAGACTTCAGGTGTGTTTTTAGGATAGCTACTGAATCCCTTTTGCCTCCTGTAAGACATCCATTATCCTGTCCATCGTCAACACTTAAACCCCTTTTTGTAACAAAACTGTATTAAATATGGAGTATTACTCCAGTATACACAGACATTGTTACAGGTACTCCCGTGAGAACTGTGATTTTATTTCAAGTTTCTTATTGAGCATTTAAAGTGACAACCTTCACAGCATTGTAGGTGATTATAAAGTGAGTCTGCTTGTTCCTGAGAACCGTGGAACGTGTATACTGTCTCTGAAATGGAAATCCATGAAACCGATGAGAAGCAGCTTCCCGTGTTCATGCTTTCCCGAGGAGTCGCTCCAGGCCATGCGATATGGAACGCACCGTCCAGTCCGCAGCTCGCCATCAGCCCGGGCACCGCCCGGGGTCCTTCACCCGCCGGTTCCAACGCGCTCCGTGCGCTCGGCGCAGAAGCGGCGGCAGTTCCCGTCTCCTCCCAGGCGCTGTCCGCAGCTGCCTCCCGCTCGAAGCTGCGATCACGGCGCTGATCCGGGGCGGCCGCCGCGGCCCGGCCCGCGCGGCCACGGCCACCCCCGCGCGCGGGCGCCGTCCTTGAGCTCGGCGAGGAAGGCGTCGCGCAGGCGAAGCAGGCGCGGGGCCAGGTCGCGCTGGCCGCGGGTGAGGGCGGTGGCGGTGAGCCGGGCGGCGGCGCGGATGGGCCGCGACTCCGACAGCCGCTCCACGAGCCGCGGGCTGGAGAGCAGCAGCAGCAGAGCCCGCAGCAGCGCCATGGCCGCCGCTCTCGCGAGACCACGCGCCCGAGCGCCCCCACGAGCGGGGAGCCCCGCAGCTCTCGCGACAGGTGCTGCACACCACCCCCCCACTTTCGCCGCGCTCGCGAGAGCCGCGTACCGGCTCGCCATTGGCTGCGCGCCCGGCGGCCGCGGGGCGCATGCGCGGGGCGCGGGATAGGCGCTGAGGGGCGGTTGCGTTGGGTAGTGGCCGTTCGTCCTGTCCTGTGCCGTGCCTTGCCTCGTCTTGTCTTGCCTTGCCTTGCCTAGCCTTGCCTAGCCTTGCCTTGCCTAGCCTTGCCTTGCCTTGCCTTGCCTTGTCTTGCCTTGTCTTGCCTTGCCTTGCCTTGCCTTGCCTTGCGTGCCTTGCCGGCCTCGGCCGGGCCGTGCAGAGCCGCCATGAGCTCCGGCGGGACGCTAAGCATCCTGCGCAGCGATTCCTACGCCGAACTCAGCCAGTACCGGGACCAGCATTTCCGGGTGAGCCGGGGGCGGGCGCCGCGCAGTCCGGCCGGGCCGGGCCGGACCGTGAGGTAACGCTGTGTCCTTGCGGCCCAGGGGACGCGGTACGACCAGGAGCGGCTGCTGCGGAAGAGCTGCACACTGTACGTGGGGAACCTCTCCTTCTACACCACGGAGGAGCAGATCCACGAGCTCTTCGGCAAAAGCGGCGACATCAAGAAGGTCATCATGGGACTGGACAAAGTGAAGAAAACCGCCTGCGGCTTTTGCTTCGTGGAGTATCCTTGTGCGAGGCGACAGGAGCGGTCAGGGTGTGGGTGATCTGCTCTGTATTGCTGGCTCTGAGTCACGGGGGGGTTCTCCGAGGATAAAATTAATCCTTTGCTAAAGCGTCTGTGGGAGACCGTGGCGAGAGAGAGCAATGCTGGGCTCACGGTTGGACTTGATGATCTTACAGGTCTTTTCCAACCGTGATTCTAGAATATACATTGCATGTCGAGCAGGGTTAGCAGATTGCTTTCATTGTGATACTTTAACCCAGATATCTTTTAGGTATTTGACCTCTGCAGTAAATTCGTATGTACCATACCAGGATAAAAAAGGTCTCTCTTTTCGTACAAATACACATGTAAAGTTTCTGTTGGCTTCTTTCATCCCTAACGTGTGACTTCATTATGTGCACGTTTCTAAGCATCATTCTGTTACTGGTTTCAGTAAACTCATCAGAAAGGTGAAAGTTTGCAGCAAGAAGCAAGCATGCCTGGGGCTTCCCACTTGGTAGTAGTAGAGCTTTGTTCTGTTGTCAGCATGATTGACAATCCAATGTCTGTATATTTAATGCTTGAATTGCTGCATGTTCCTCCCTTTTACTAGCAGTTTTCTTAGTAAGTGTAGCTTCATAAAGGTGGTTCAAGCAAAGACTTGGTTTTGTAGCCCATTTGATATTGTTCTTTTTCCCATGTGGTGAAAATAGAAGTCCATTTTTTCATTAACTTATTCCTAAGGTATTATGCCAGAGGAGATGCTGAAAATGCAATGCGATACATCAATGGGACCAGGCTTGATGACAGGATCATAAGGACAGACTGGGATGCAGGATTTAAGGAGGGTAGGCAGTATGGCCGTGGAAGATCAGGGGGACAGGTAGGTTGTCATACAGCCTGGGATTTTAAGGGAATGGTGACTTTGCCAAATTTCTTGGTTTTGAAGGAACACAGAACAATTTCAAAAATAGCAGCTTAGGAGTCATTGTTGAAGGTAACAATGGAAGACCAAATTTCACTAAAAGTACTTGCAGAAACAGCTCTTGGCTGCCTGGCAAGATAATGCTTTTAAGTAAGCCCAGAAAATGTAAGGGGCTGTCCAGAGCACACAGGACAGCAGGAGGCTTACCC